TGGCTGCCTGTGGCACTGTTGGTTACTTCAAACTTGCAGGGAAGGGACCACCCCTCTCCCAGCCTGATCCACAGAGATGCCACTTGAGAAGCTAATGCTCTGGGGCCTGACTGGCTCACTCCTCAGGGCGGCAGAGCCATCACACCTTTGAAGCCGGCACAGGTCACACCTGGGCCCTGATGCCAGGCAATGCCAGGTGCTGGTCATTCATCAGAAATAACAAGCCAAGCAGCTGGGCCTCCCCAGTCAGCCCATCTCTCCAGAGTGTCACACAGAGACCAATTAGCTGAGGCTCCAAGCAACAAAATTCTGCCTTTCTAAGCAAAACATCAGAAAACACTCCAGGCCCTTAGCAGTAAGGCCGGGCCTCAGAATTTACCTTTCTTTTAGGTTTCTGCTGATCTTTTCTTTGCTCTTTGGGTGAGTTAGCGGCTGATGATTCCAGCCCAGGACTCTTCACAGGCGCCAAGATCTACCATCTGGAGTGGAGGTTAAATAGGTTTTTTGGTTGTTGTTTGGCACTGAGAGAATTTAACCCAGGGCATTTGCATTGAGCTATAATCCCAGCTCTTTTATTTATTTATTTAGAGACAGGTTTCTAGTAGCCTTAATTCAGACTGGCTTTCAATTCTTGATGATTGCCTGCCTTGGCCTCCAGAGTGCTAGAATTACAGGTGTGTGCCATCATGCCTGATGTGACAAGGTCTTGCTCAATCACTAAATTGCTCAGGCTGGGCTCAAACTTGTGATCCTTCTGCCTCAGTCTCTCAGACTGCTGCAACTCCAGGAATGTGTCATTATGCCTAAGACTTTTTTTTTCCTGCAGTGTGAGGTATCAAACTTGGGCCCTGTACATGCTAGGGAAATGCTCCACCACTGAACTATCCTCCTTAAAAAAGAATTTTTCCTGTTTCCAGTTTCTCTTTTTACCTGATTCTTCTTTTTTTCTGATTGGTAGGAATTGAACCTAGGGCTTTGCATATGCTAAGCATGCACGCTACCAGCCAGCTACATGCAGCCTTGAGTATCTTTTCTCTTTTTCCTCCTCCTTCTTTTTTGAGATATAGTTTCACTATGTAGTGCAGGCTAGACTTGACCTCCTGAAAATCCTCTTGCCTCGGCCTCCCAAGTGCTAGGATTACAGGTGCCACCACACGCGGCTTATTTTGTTTTGTTTTTGAGACAAGGTCTCACTATGTAGTCCAGGCTGTGCCGGGACTGCGGTGCAGACATTTACCACTACTCTGGTCTAGCTTTTCCTTTTTCATGAACCCAAAGCCTTCACACTGAGTTGCATCCCCATCCCTGTTCATTGTTTGAGACAAGGTCCCACTAAATCACTAAATTGCCTGGGATAGGCTTGATAGAATTTTTGGCAAGGCTAAAAAGATAGAAATACGAAATAAAAGTGGCCTTTATTTTAAGAATGTGGATGAAGAGAGAACCCAGACCACTGAGGTCTGGGTTTCTCTCTACCAGAGGCGTGGTCTAGGGGCATATATATAGTTTAGGTTTGGGGTGGAGCCTAAGGGGCATTACTGATGAACAGGTAACCCATTGGAATTCATTTGGAGCCAAGGGTAAATTGCCTAGGGGCGGGGAAGATGACCTCAAGATAGAGCCCCTTGGTTCCACCTCTAGCCTCCCACTGCGGCAGTGTCCCATTCAGGGCAAAATCCTTTCAAGGCTCACATTGGCAGTCCTCCTGCCTTGGCCTCTCAGAACACTGGGATCACAGGTGTGTGTTATCGATCCCAGCTAGTTTTTTTCTGTGGAAGGTTACAGACACTTTATATACTTAGAGGAACTTCTGGTGCTCTACCCCTAAGCTATATCCCCAACTGCTTTTTTTTCCTCTCCCCAAACCTCTTGTTTTTTATTTTTATTTTATTTTTTTGTCTTTTTATCGGTACCGGGGATCGAACTCACGACTGCCTGCTTGAAAGGCAGGTGCTTATGCCGCTGAGCTAAATCCCCAGCCCCTTGTTTTTTTTCAATTGATATATATTTGTTCATACTTACGAGTACTGTATCATTTCACTCTGTGTACAATGTATAGTGATCAGATTAGGGAAACTAGCACTTCTATCACCCCAACATTATCATCTCCTTGTGCTGGGAGCAGTCAGCATCCTCTTTACTAGCTATTTTTAAATGTATAATTAATTGTTGTCAACCATAGTTACTCTTTTGTGCCTTTTTTTTTCTTTTCAGACAGGGTTTCACTATGCTGCTCAGGCTGACCTTGAACTCACTGTATAGCCCAGTTCTCAAATTGAATGGTGATCTTTCTGCCTCAGCTTCCTGAGGGTTGGGATTATCGGTATGTGCGGTCACGCCCCGCCTATACTTTACAACATTAGAAATTCCCTCATCTCTAACTGCATCCCACTTAATCAGTTTCTCTTGTCAGCCCCTCTCTATGAAGTGGCCAACAGTCACATTCTGGTTTGGATCCCATTATCTCAGTTTCTTGGGAGCATTGGGAGCGCCTCTGCAGGTGGCCCGAATCCCAGTCTTTGAGGGATGAAAAACAAAAAAACAAACAAGGGGACCAGGTGCAGTGCACATGCCTGCAATCTCAGCTACTCTGAAGGTTGAGCCAGGAAGATGGCTAGTTTGAGGTCAGACCTGGTCTCAAAATCAAAATAAGAGCCAGCCATAGTAGTAGTACTCACCTATAATCTCAGCTCTCAGGAAGTTGAGGCAAGAGGATCATTGAGTTAGAGGCCAGGCTGACCTATATAGTTAGACTCTGTCTGAAAACACACACACACACACACACACACACACACACACACATGCACAGATATACACAATAAAATTTAAAAAGGGCTGAGGACACAGCTCAGTGGTAGAATGCGCCTGGGTTGGGGCTGGGGATTTAGTTCAGCGGCATAAGCGCCTGCCTTGTAAGCAGGCAGTCGTGAGTTCAATCCCTGGTGCCGATAAAAACGAAAAAGACAAAAACAAAACAAAACAAAACAAGAATGCTCCTGGGTTGAGTCACCAACAAACACCCCCCCCCCACACACACACACACACACCACCACCACCAAGACAAGGCAGGTTTGGCAGTGATAAGCATAAACCCAGGTTTGGTGGTAAACACCTGTAATTCTAGCTACTCCAGAAACTGAGCTGAGAAGATAGAAAATTCAAGGTCAGTCTCAGTAATTTATGGAAACTGTCTCAAAAGTTTAAAAGGACTAGGGCAGCTCAGTTCCAGGCCCTGGGTTCAGTCCCCCATTGCGGGTTGGGGAGGGACACACATTCAAATAGATTGCATTGTACTCTACCCTTTGTTCTGAAAACTCTTTTTTTTAACCTAACAATAGATTTTGACCACCTGTCCTAATGGATCCAAGGGTGGGGCGTCTTCCTCATTCTTTGTGAGCGCTCTCTGGAGTTAGTTTCAGGGTTATTTAACCTGCATCCTCCTGCAGAGCGGGTCAGTCCTCTCCATCCTCGCCTGCCCGTGTGTATTGAAGTTCACTTTGCAATGGGCTGATCCCATTTCCTTCCCTCCCAGGTTCCCAGGGGTGTGGGCCGCAGTGTTAGAACACAGTCCAGTGAGCAGTCTCCCGTCCAAAAAAGTAAAAGCACATGTGCCCAGTTTGCCCTCACTGCTGCCCTATTTTGCTTCTTTTCACACCAGAACTCTTTATCTCACCCAAATAAAAATAGTCTGTCTTTTTAGATTCTAAAAATGGAACCCATTCATTGAAGGGGGGGCATGCTCAAGTGATACAGGAAAAGTACAAAGGAAGTAAAAATCACTTTCGATCCTTGGATGTCACAGATTGCCAGTACTCTTAAACACACACACACACATGCAAGCATGCACACAAGCACACAGACCCAGATGCATACAGCCAAAGACAATTTGCAGCCCTTTTTATTCTTTTATTTTGAGATAGGGTTTCACCAAATTGCTAAATTGCCCAGGCTTGGCTCCAACTTGCCATCCTCCTGTCTCAGCATCCCAAGTACCTCCTGATCTGCCATTCTCTGGCTGACTCCTCTTCCTTTTTTTTTTTTCCTGGTCCTGAGGATTGAACCAGGGACTGCACTGAGCTACATTTCAGGCTCAAAGTTTCAATCCCCCTGCCTCAACTTCCCAAAGGGTTGGGATTACTGCTGTGTGCTACTTGGTCTCCTTCCTTCTTTCCCCTTTCCTTTAAGCCTAACCATTCTAAAATTTAGTGCTGACTGTCACTCCCCGCTTACATAGCTCCCTTGGCTCCCAATGCCCATATTCCCTACATGGCACCAAAATCCACCCTGACCTTGCTCAGCTTTCTCATACTCATAACCCACCACACCCTAACCCATTTCTCTCTCCTCATGTGCCCTCTCTCCTGACCATGCAGAATGTTCCCTGTACTTCACCTGGCAAACTCTGCTATCTGGTACAAAACCCAACTTGTCTCCTTGGTTATTTCTTCCTGGCCTGCTCTGCCACATTAGGTAAACCTTTTTGTCTGTGTTTATCACAGATTCTCTTCCCACACTTTTTTTTTTTTTTTGGCTTGCTTGACATAAGATCTCATAATGCAGTTCAGGCTGGCCTTGAACCTGCTATATAAGCCACACCAGGCTCAAAATAGTACTCATCAGGACAGGGATTTAGCTCAGCAGCATAAGCACCTGCCTGGCAAGCGTGAGGTCATGAGTTCAATCCCCAGTACAAATAAAAAAAAAAAAAAATCAAAAACAAAAACTAGTACTCATCCTACCTCACTCTCCTGACTGCTGGAATTATACACATATTCTACCATCCCTAGTTCCAAATTTATTTATTTATTTATTGATACCAGGGATCGAACTCACAACCTTGTGCTTGCCAGGCAGGCATTTAAGCCACTGAGCTAAATCCCCAGCCCTAAAAATGTTTTTATGTAATAAAATTAAAAACAAAATGAGCTACTAATTAAGACATTAAGGAGCAAATACACTAAAGAAGACTAATGAGTTATGACCTAAAAATACAGCGAATGTTTAAATTTAGAAAATTTTATTATAGTAAAGACAGTGCTACTAACTGCCATCAAAATACTGCTCCTCACTGAACACACTCCCCCTATCGTTCTTGCCTCTTTGGAAGTCCTCTTTCTTATGTTTAATTGCACGGTCCTAGCTGTCTCTATGTCCTGAACTGATTAAAAATATATTTTCTTTTCATGGTCATTTTGACTTTGAGGAAGAGCCAGAAGTCATAGTGCCAGCTGTGAACAGGGTGGATAAGAACATACTGTGATGTTTTTAGGAGTTTGCCTTTCCAAATTGGATGGCCCTGAGCAAGTAGCATTACTGTTTTGATCACATCTGGTAATGTCAGTCACAAAAGTGGGTTTCCAGAACAGCTTCAGAAAGTGACGAGAGCATGGTGGCAAACGCCTGTAATTCCAGCACTCTGGAGGCTGAGGCAGGAGGATCACTGCGAGTTTGAGGCCAGCCTGAACTACATGGCAAGATCCTGCCTAAAAAACAAAAGCAAACAAAACTGAAAGAAAGAGAAAATGGCAAGAACAATGGAATATATTTGAAGAGAAAGGAGTATTTTGAGGTGGAGTCATGGCAGTTTCTTTTGCTGTAAGAAAAATTTAAAACCATAGTAACTCACCGTATAGTTAGTTGTTCCACCATCCCTGGTACAATTGAACAGGTGTGCCTTGTGATCAGCCTTGCCCTGCCCCTGCACCGCCCCCTCCACCAGAACTACATTTCCCAGAAGACCCTGCGGCCAGGGCATGCGCATCATAGCGCTCGGAAGCTGCGACGCCGACCGAGTTTCAGTCCGGCTGCCTCTCGCTTGGAGTCGGAGTCGCAGCTCGAGCTGTACTCTGCCTGGCCCAGAGCTGCTGCTTGAGCGCGACGGTGCCCTCAGCCTGTCTCCGCGGCCTCCTCAGTCTTGGTGAGAGGGGCCAAGCCACCTGTTCGCCTCCAAGGCTAGCGTCTTCAGGCAAGGGGTGGCGAGGGGACTCCGAACCGAGCTGGGACCGGAAGGGGGAGGAGGAGGGAGGGAGGGCTGGGCCGGGCGGGAGGGCAGCCCCTGGGGACGGGGAGGACTGGCCTGAGGTCCTGAGGGTGCGAGTCGGCGCGGAGAACTCCAGCGCTGCGCGCAGGGCAGGGTTCGGTGAGAGCGGGAGCTCGGGGAGGGGGACCTCTGGGAGTTTGGGTCCCACAGGACGTGGGGCGTCAGGGATATTGTCACCGCGCGCTCCCTTGCGAGGGTGTGGGCTCTGCTCGCATCTGCGTCCAGGTGAAGCACTTACCAAGCCGGGGGCTGTACTTTGGAAGAGTTTGCCTCCCAACTCTGCTTCTTTCAAACGGGGTCCACTTTCCCGGAAGCTCCTATCTTCTGGGGTCCTGGGTCACTTGGAGGGGTGCGTAGTGCTGAAAAGGATTTAGGAAACTTCCTTTTATTCTGCCTTTCTGAACCAGCTGCTGTCTTCCAATGCTGGCTTCACTTCCCTAAGTGCCACCAGCGTTGGAAATAGGATGTGCACAGAACTCTGGACTTTTAAGAAACTCAAAATACTTCTGAATGAATGTTATCCTAGCGCCTCTAGAATTTTAGAAAGTAGATTTCCTGGTAGCCAAAATTAGGGCTGACTTAAGGTGTAGGGAACTAGGCCTTTTGTTCATGTGCTGTGTGACCTTGGCCAAATTTTTGCCGTCTCTGGTGTGTTGATTTCCAGGTTGCCTACGCGCCAGACTGGCCTCTGAAGTCCTTTTAGGCCTTTTTGGGAAAGGGCTCCGATTGTTTAACGCATCCCCTTGATTGTTGAGTGGGCTGAGAAAGAGTATCATACCTTCTGCTCTGCCCAGGCTGTTGGAAAATAAATCTGGTGATTTCCACTCCCTAGCCACAGCACACGAATCCAACATCTGTGCACTCGTTTTCACTCAACTGCTTGCTGTTTCTCAATTTAAAACCTGATCATCATCTTGTTGGCAAAGGTGCCTCGGGATCTGTGTTGCTGACTCAGCAAGCCCTTCAGATTTGCCGGGTTTTTGTTGTTTGCGTCTCGTATCAAGATGGGGACTTAAACAAATTATTCCTCCTAAGAATCTGGCGTCTGCATCGGAAGGGACGGTATGTGGCCAGGTCTCCAGAGAGACAAGGTGAGAGCCGCAGGGAATTCACCTTGCTGCCTTCCCAATTTGGCTTTCAGTAGGCAAGGCAGGCTCTTGGGAGGGTGGCATCCAAGGTCTCCAGGATGAAAGTGAGCCGTGGGAATTGATTGTTGATTGCCAGCTGTGGCAAATAAATTCTAGTGGCTTCTGGCCAGCAGCTTCTCCTGTTTAACCAGTCTTAGAGGATGCTTCTGCCTTTAATTCAAGCTTTATGGGATGGAGGACACAAGTCATGATTTCTGCATTTGTACTGGAAATCCCCTTTCTTTGGCTGTGTAGATACCTACTGGGTGCCAGACAAACTCTCCATTTCCTGGGAACTTTGGTGGAAAGTCAGATGCACCAACAGGCAGTGACAAGGTGTTGCCAGTTCGATGTGTGCTGAGCAGGGGCAATCAGGGCAGGGTCTCTCCTCTAGGAGAGGGTAGGAAGCAGGGCTGGGAAGGGCTGGTGTGGTAGCACATATCTGTAATCCTAGCACTTGGGGAGGCTGAGGCAGGAGCATCACTGTGAGTTTGAGGCCTAGTACTGCTGGGGAAAAAAGACAGAAATTTGGGAGGAAACTTGGCAGAGGAACATATGCAAAGTCATGAAGCTACTGGGACAGGGCTGGATCGCTGTAAGTAGCTTTTTATGCCTAGGGCAGCAGGAGAGGGTGTGAAGTAGAGGAGCCTGGAAAGGTGGGTGGGCAGAGGACAGAGTAGAGGGATTGGGGGTTGTGTCCAGTGCTGTGGCTCGTCTCCCATAAGACTTATGTGTTAGAAGCTTGGTCCCCAGTGTGGTGATGGTGGTGAGGTGTAGAACCTTTAATAGGTTAGGTTCAGCAGTGCATATTTGGAATCCTAGTTACTCAGGAGGCTGAGGCAGAGAGATTGCAAGTTTGAGGCCAGCACAGGCAATTTAGGGAGACTGAAAAAAAAAAAAAGGGCTAAGTGAATAGCTCCATACTCCCTGGGGGTTCAGTCCCTAGTACTGTATTGGAAAGAGAGGGAGGAGCAGTGGAGCCTCCACTCTGATGAAGTTGATGCTGGTCTGTGCAGTGGGTTGGGTCTCCTAGGAATAAACTAGTTCTCCAGAGAGCTGGTTGATATAAAGGGCCACTTTGCTGCCATGTGGTGACACCTCAGGGCTGGTGGATGCCATGTTCTTTGAACCCTCTAGCCATCAGAATCATTAGTCAAATAAGACTCTTTGCTTTATAACTTATCTAGCACCAGGTATTCTGGTACAGCAACCCAAAACAGTTATCAAGTCTCTGGGGAGCAGGAGGATTTAGCAGAATTTCATGCAGGGCATTTTTTTTTTTTTTTTTTTTTTTTTGTCTTTTTCCTTTTTATCGGTACCGGTACCGGAGATCAAACTCACGACTGCCTGCTTGCAAGGCAGGCGCTTATGCTGCTGAGCTAAATCCCCAGCCCCAAGAAGGAAGTCTCACTTTTTTTTTTTTGGTGCTGGGGATCGAACTCATGACCTCACTCTTGCCAGGCAGGCGCTTAAGCCACTGAGCTAAATCCCCAGCCCTCATGCAGGGCATCTTAAAGGAGCTTGCTGGAAGGTGTAAAGGATTAGGTTGGCCTATTCTCTCTGATGTCTGTGCCATGCCAACTTGCCTAGAAGAGGGATTGGTGAGCGCTTTTGTCCTCAATTGTTCATAACCTAGTTGAAGAGAAGAATAACTGGTCACCGTGGCAAATGCCTGGAATTCAGCTGCTTCCCATCCAGGAGGATGGGGAATTTGAGGCCAGCCTGAGCAATTTAGCAAGATCCAACCTCAAAATAATTTAAAATAAGCTGGGGGTAGAGCTCAATAGTAGCCCTTATGGTCATCTAGCATATACAAGGTCCTGGGTTCAATTCTCAGTACCACCAAAAAGAAAAAACTAGAGACAAAATTATGAAGGATAGGCAGAGTGCTCTGGGAGTTTAGAGGAATTTTTTTTCTTTTGGGCCCATTGGGGCATGTTTAAATTGGGCCTGGGCGCAGGCTGAGGCTCTAGCTCATTGGTAGAGCACTTACCTAGCCTTGTACCTGAGGAAGCGCAGTCTTGCACCTGTGTCTGAGAAGGACTGGGAGTTGGAGCCATCTGGGAAAGAGTACTTACTCATGCAGGGCCTAGCGGTCCCACACAGGTGTTCTGAGGAGAGGCTTGTGATGCTGATGAGAGGAGAGAGCAGGCCCTGGCAGCTATAGGGCTGTGGGCACAAAGGTTGAGGAGGAGCAGGAATCTCTGGATTTTTTACTGGTTGCCTGAGGCAGGGAAGATCGAGGAAATCCAAGGGGAGATGGAAAATTGGAAGGAAAATAAGTTTGGTCCAAAATTGCACACCTATTCACTTCCTTTGAACTTACTTTCTTTTCTGATAACCACTTTCCCCTTTGCTTTCTTTCTTTCTTTTTTTTTGACCAGGGATTGAATTTAAGACTTTGCCCTTGCCAGGCGGGTGCTTACGGCACTGAGCTACATCCCCAGCCTCTCTTTGCTTTCATTTTTACATAGTTGTATGTATACATCCTGGTATTTATAGGGAAAATTTAAAAAATGATTGCTCAGATTTACCCATATTATGTCATGTTATCCAGTTCATTTGTTTCTGCCACTTAATAATAGTCCATGGTGGGAACACCATTTGATCATCCCTGGTGGGCCATTAGTTATTTCTGATATTTGTTATTGTTTAGTTGGTGGTTTTTTTTTTTTTTTTTTTTTGGTACTGGGGATCCAACTCATAACCTTATCCTTGCCAGGCAGGTGCTTATGCCACTTATAAGTTCTCAGCTTGTTTTTGTTTGTTTTTGTGCAGACTGGCCTTGAACTGGCCTTGAACTTGCTTATGTAGCTGTGACTCAAGTCACGAAGATCCTCCTCCTGCCTTAGCCTCCCAAGTGCTAAGATTGTAGGCATGTGCCACTACACCCAGCTGTCACTTCTGGACTTTTGTAGCTTTAAACATCCTGTCCTGAACATTTCCATGTGGGTCTCTTGTCAAATATAGGGAGGAATATTTTCGTGGGTCCTCGGTAAACAAGTGTGTGGTTTTCATAGGTACAGCTGTGCTGTTTGGTGTAGTGGTTGTAGCAGTTTCTGCTTTAGTGACAGTGGTGTGTTTTCCATGTGCCTGGCCCACATTCTCATTAACATTTGCTGTTGGCAGACTTCTTTGGGTTTTTTATTGGGTAGGGGGGTTGAGGCAGAGTCCCACTATATAGTTTGGTTGAATTCACAATGTGGCCCATGCTGGCCTTGAACTCATGGTGATCCCCCTGCCTCCACCTCCCAAGTGCTGTGATTACAGGCATGTGCCACCATGCCTGGCCATTTATTTATTTATATTTTTTTGAGTCAGCATCTCACTATGTTACTGTGTAGTGGAGACTGGCCTTGACCTCTTATGTAGTGCAAGCTTGAACTCTTGGAGATCCTCCTGCCTCAGCCTCCTGAGTGCTGAGATTATAATATTGTACCACCACGTCTAGTCATTCTTCATTTTAAAGCTTATATCCAGTGTTCTGTGTCTCATTTGAATGGTGATTCCTGAACCTAGTTCCTTGCCTTTAAGGAACGTGCATAATGGGGAAGGAGACAGGTAGTATTTTGCACACAGATGTCACATGAATTTTGATAGGTAGAAGTGTCAACTTCTCCCTGCAGGGCAGGAATGAATGAATATAGGATCAATACACAGGGCCAGTCGCAAGCTGGGAATTAAGAGATGAGAAAGTGTCCTCTGGGATGAACATTCTTAGTGGGATGTGAAGGGCCTGAAAGCTTTGGGCCAAGTCTTGTACCACCAGGAGGTCCAGATGCCAGCTGAGGGTTCGAG